CAATTTTTTGTCAAAAAATAAACTAATAAAGCATGAATTTATATTTAATATATGTTCAATCAAGTTTTTCAAACTATTTTTAAAAAAATTATCCAAATCATACGTAGTTACTTGAAACATTCAAACATGATTTATATGTTTGGTAGTGAATTTAAATATCTAAAAAACATATATCATCATTAATTTTAAAAGAATAGTTTAAATGTACTTTTTTATATCTTAAATATTTTCATCTACTTCTCATATTTATTATTATTATATTGATATATTTGCGTATATGTTGGAAAAATTATTGAATTTAACAATATTTAACTGAATTTAGTATTATATTTTTGGCTGAATTACTAAATATGGTAGAATTTTAAAAAATATCTAATGAAATTGGCGGAATTGCTGAATCTAACTGAACGGAATTGCTTAATCTTGTTACCATTTGATTAGATGTATATAGTTGAGGTGGACAATTACAAATATTAACGTCAAAATCCAAAAAAAGTTGGGTCAAAGATGGTTTCAATTGGCTAAAGAGGTGGCTGAATTCAAATGCATGTGACACTTACAATTTTTCAAATAATTTATAATGGCTTTTGTTCTGTTAATTCTTATCCACACTTACTTACCATCGACACGTTGCATCACGGGGAAGCTCCTCCGCAAATTGACACTACAACAACTATTAATTTTGTGGTCACTAACTTTGAGTTCTCTTTTAACAACTTTAATAACAGAATTAAATTGCTCCAAAAGAATAAAATTAAAATTAAAAACATTGCATCAAAATATTAGTATTAGTTACCAAAATAAATCTGTAAATTGTATATAACAAATAATTTTGACGGAAATGGAAAGATGGGAGTAACCGCAGCGACGATAAGCGGGGGGAAAGAAAACAATTTTATGATAATTTGAAAACATAACAAAGGTAATTAATTTCTCTTTCAAAGGTAATATATTAACATGAAAACCAAAAGATAAGATCTTAATAGCCGAGCATGGAGAATCTTACAAACATGGAGGAATAGTTGTATTTTATGAAGCTATCATATGCATTCTCATTATTATTGGACATATATAGCTCTCATTATTACAAGTTTTATTATCAAGGAAAATAAGGAGCATAAGTTACAACTTAACGGGTTTGATTTTATATGGACTAGAACTAATTAGAGTATTGCCTAACCCAAAACTAATAAAGGAAAAACTATTTTTGTCTATAGTGAGAA